AGGCCTTGGTTGACCTGTGGTGTTTGTTGACCTGAGGTCCTGGTTGACCTGTGGACCTGGTTGACCTGTGGCCTTGATTGACCTGTGGCCTTGGTTGACCTGTGGCCCTGGTTTACCTGTGGCCTTGGTTGACGAAGGCCTCATTTGAATTGTGAGCAAATATCTAGCAAACTTTCCAACAGGATTCTTATTTTTGAACAAAAGAAATAATGGTTGTTGATCTGTAAGAACATGAACTGGGTAATTATAAATTGTATCCCTGAAATGTTTAAGAGCCCAGACAACTGCCAAGGCTTCACGTTCTGTTGCACTATAATTTTTCTCTTCTTAAGGTAATGTATGGCTAGCATAAGCTATTGTGTGATCTCTGTGACCGTCTGTCTGAAGTAATGCGGCACCTTAACCAATGTTACTAGCATCTGTAAACAATGTAAAAGGTTTAGAAAAGTCTGGGTACCTAAGGACAGGTGAGGAGATCAAGGCTGCCTTGAGTTTTTGGAATGACTGTTCTTGGGCTTCTTCCCAAACAAAGGGTTTATCTTTTCCTTGCAACTTGTAAAGTGGAGCGGCTATGATAGAGAATCCAGCAATAAACGAACTATAAAATCCTACAAGACCTGTGAACTGTCTTACGGCTTCTGCGGTACGAGGCATTGGAAAATCACGGGCAACAATAATTTTTTATTCATTCAATGTAATACCTGAAGGTGTAACTGTATGACCGAGGAAATTAATCTTCTTCTTTAAATATGAACATTTCGCAAGTTTTATTTTTAAATTAGCTTCTACGAGCTTTGCAAGTACTTTCTCAAGATTCTGGAAATGAGTCTGAACATCTTGCGACATGATTATGAGATCATCAAGGTAAACTAGAAGAGTACTTCCTATCAATCTACGAAATAGATTCGTCATGAGCCGTGAAAAGGTTATTGGACTACTACACAAACCAAATGGCATTCTTTTGAAATGAAAATGACCATTGGGAGTACTAAAGGCTGTCAATTGTTTACTTTCCTCATCAAGGGGGATTTGCCAGAATCCCTGCAACAAATCTAACGTTGAGAATACTTTGTTTCGACCAATACTTTGCAACAAATCATTTAGAACTGGAAGTGGGAAACGATCAGGTATTGTTACTCTGTTAAGCTTGCGATAATCGATTACAGGTCTCCAAGTCCCATCTCGCTTTGGTACAAGAATCAATGGAGCGTTCCATGGCGAATTACTCGACTCAATTACATCAATCTGTAACATTTCCTCTATGAGTCTATCCAACCCGTTCTCGCAAATTTAATAAGTCAATATTGACTTATTAAATATGTGCATAGGTGACATACTTAACATAATAGTTTCCCTTGAAAAGCTTCATAGAAAACACTGACCTTACCTAACCTACATAGTATGTTAAGATAAGCATCTTATTGCTTCGTAATTACAATTATTACCTAACCTATACCTATAATAGGTTAAGTAACAATTGTAATTACGAAGCTATAAGATGCTTACTTTAACATACTAAGTAGGTTAGGTTAGGTCGGTGTTTTCTATGAAGCTTTTCAATAGAAACTATTATGTTTAGTATATCACCTATGCACGCAACTAATAAGTCAATATTGACTTATTAAATTTGCGAGAACGGGTTGGTCTATCAGCTTCTACTCTCTGAGAATGGGGTAAACGGTATGCTGTTACATAAATAGGCATAGTTCCTTACTCAATGGGGAATTTTATGTGTAATATGAGGAGACCTAACTTTTCTCCTGGTAGAGCCTTCTCCTTTTCTCCTGGTAGTAATGAGGCTCTATTCCTTTTCAAAATTTCCGAAAGCTGAACCACAGAGTCAGGGAAATAAGTAGGACTGAGGTGCAGCTCTTGCACCTCTGGCAAAGATCCATGATCTCTTGGTGTGAGAGTACAAACAGTTTGTTCCAGGACGAGATTATCCACGACTCGCACCGGTACTGCGAGTCTAGGATGATACACTGGTACACTAGGGTCTGGTAGATGACTGGGCATCTGGTAGCTGACTGGACAGCGTGCAGGACTCGTAATCCTGTGGCCAAGGTTCGATGAGAAGGAAGAAACAAATGGCTAAAGTTTCTTTCACTCTGATGCCCCTTTTATCTAGCAGTAAATAAGTTCCTGGGAGTTAGATATCTGTTACGGAACTGCTTCCTGGGGTGTGTGAAAAAATAGTAAGTAGTTAGTAACAGTTGATTGACAGTTGAAAGGCGGGACCAGAGAGTCAGAGCTCAACCCTCGCAAGCACAACTAGGTGAGTACAATTAGGTGAGTATACACCCACACACACACACACACACCCACACACACACACCCACACACACACACACAAAGTTTCATTAGAGTGAGAGTGCAGGGCCGTGCCTCCCCCCCCTCGGGGGCTGTATGCAACACAACACGGGATTAGTCACCGGCTTAAATTAAGTCAGTTCTCGGGAGTGAAGTAAGCTCTCCTGATGCCCTCGTTGTCTCTAACAAATAAAGTAAAGCAATTCAAGCGAAGGAATCCGGAAGTGTCTTGCAAGAGACTTTCCAATATATATTTAATGTAATTTGCAACATGGCATGTGCAATAGACTGGAGTTCCACGGAAACAGATCACCCTGTGTGACTGCTATGCAAGAAAGTGTTATGCACAACACGCAATAATAATACAATTATTGTATTATTGTACATGATAACCGGTTCAGTTATCTTCATGGTCTTGGTCCGAGATACGTGGTCCCTTGTTCGTAAATTTCGGGCTAAATTGTAAAGTGGAAATTAAATCAAACTTAATGCAGCAGTTAGTGTGGATAAATGCTGGCAGTTGAATGGCTTGGTCGGCGTCCACGGTGAAATTGGTCAAAGATATACAATTATACAACGTAAGAAATAATTTGTTTTAAAATATGCGAAGCTTTATCTTGAGGAACTTATTTATAGGTTTGGTAATCAAGCTGAAGAAGCTTTCACGTTACTCTTTAAACTTCTGTATTGACTCCTGTGATGTGTAAACAAGAGACAAGGCAACATAATAGTCATTAACAGTGTAATGAGGTTAATGTAAGTGCAAACGGTCAAAGCAACAAAAAGTTTATTAGAACTTGAGAAATAAACAATTATATACCGAGATGAGTACCCAACAATTATATACCGAGAGGAGTACCCAACAATTGTATACCGAGAGGAGTACCCAACAATTGTATACCGAGAGGAGTACCCAACAGTTGTATACCGAGAGGAGTACCCAACAATTGTATACCGAGAGGAGTACCCAACAATTGTATACCGAGAGGAGTACCCAACAGTTGTATACCGAGAGGAGTACCCAACAATTATATACCGAGAGGAGTACCCAACAATTGAGTGTATTTACACTGAGCGTTTAAGTCACACCTGAACTATATTTCAGACTCAAGTATACATACTTGTTGGTCAGCACAGTTGGTCGCTCACCACCATCTGGTCAGCACAGTTGGTCGCTCACCACCATCTGGTCAGCACAGTTGGTCGCTCACCACCATCTGGTCAGCACAGTTGGTCGCTCACCACCATCTGGTCAGCACAGTTGGTCGCTCACCACCATCTGGTCAGCACAGTTGGTCGCTCACCACCATCTGGTCAGCACAGTTGGTCGCTCACCACCATCTGGTCAGCACAGTTGGTCGCTCACCACCATCTGGTCAGCACAGTTGGTCGCTCACCACCATCTGGTCAGCACAGTTGGTCGCTCACCACCAGCCACCTGACACTCCATCCGTCTCTTCCACAGAGTTTAACCAGTTCTCTATACAACGATTTGGCTGTCAGCCGAGGAATTATGCCTCACATTGTTCACACACTGACAGTGTGAGGCAAACTCAGACTTAATCACTTTCTACTTCCTCACAATCAGAATGTTTCGATGCAATATTTTGCCAAGGTTCTCCGGATAATTTGAGACAAATCTATGTACATGTGAAAATTTATATACCATATCAAAAATACTTCGTTTAGCACCATAATATGCATGTTAAATTTAAATTGTATAAGATAAAGCTAATACATATTCGAACTTAATATAAATTAAATTTAATATTGTTTAAGCAAGAGTACAATATACAGGAGAACAGCAACAGGTAGGGGTCGGGAAGAGGCGCCTATCAGTAGGCTGTACACAGTGAAAACTCGCACCTCAAATAGGTGCTAATTAAGGGGCCAGGTCGCTTCGCTTCTATGCCCAAACGGTTGGAAAAGGCGGGTTATAAGAAGGGTGAGGAGTTGACATTCAAGAAGAGGGTGCGGGATCCAGAAGGCTAAAAATGTTCGGTGGCCCATCCGCCGCGGTTGACGTTGGATATTTTTCGAGGAACTTGATCATGGTTTTGTCATTCTGACGTGTCCTTGAGCGGCGGGAGGCGGCGGCGTGGTGGCTGTGCCAGGGCTGGAGGTGAGGTGGAGAGTGACGAGGTGTGTAGGCGTTGGGTGCTGACTGAGTCTTGAGTCTTCATCTGACTTTTCTCTTCGGGCTTCTTACTTCGGCTGCGTGTACTCACCTAGTTTTGTTTGTGGGGATTGAGTGCTAGATCTTTGGGCCCGCCTCTCAAGTGTCATTCAACTGGTATACAGATTCCTGAGCCTACTGGGCTCAGTCATATCTACATTTGAAACTGTGTATAGAGTCAGCCTCCACCACATTACTGCCTAATGTATTCCAGTCTGCTAACTACTGACACTAAAATAGTTCTTTCTAACGTCCCTGTGGCTCATTTGGGTACTCATTTTCCACAGTCCCCTTGTTCGCGTTCCACCCGTGTTAAACAGTTTATCTTTATCTATCTTGTCAATTCCGCTGAGAATTTTGTAAGTAGTGATCATTTCTTCCTTTACTCTTCTGTCTTCCAGTGTCGTGGGTGCATTTCACACAGCCTTTCCTCGTAACTCATGCCTCATAGTTCTGGGATTTAGTTCCGGGACACGCAGGTGGATGTGTCCATGTGTTCTAAGTTTTCTCGCACTTATGGGTCTTCTGTTTCTTCTTCGACTGGGTCTTGTTGCATGTTGATCTGACCGTGCTGTCGTTGGAGCCTGGTGAGGAGGCCTCCATGAGGAGTCAACAGCACGGTGTAGCTGTTGAATTGGTGGTGAGGTGATGCTGTTTCTTTTGAGATTTCCTCGTCTGATGAGTCCGAAGGCTCGTCTGGAGCCGATGGTTTGGTGTGGTGGAGGTGTGGTGGCAGCGACCGCGTGAGCGTTGGTGGTGTTACCAGCAGGCGTAGACAGGATGTCGGCGACCGCGTCAGCTGAGATAGTGAGTGGAAGATGCTACTGCTTGTGCAGCCTGGGTCTTGGGTGGTGCTGGAGTCTGGGTTGAGGTTGTCCTCGTAGTCGTCCTTTTGGTAGTCCCTGTGGTAGTAGGATAGACAGTGAGCCTGTCATCAGAGGCAATGATGGGGTCCAGGCCGTTGGCAAGATGCAGAGTTCAGTGACGAACCGGTGGTTATCTGGTCCAGCGATCCTCTCTGCTAGACGAATGAGACCGGGAGTGATTCCTTCACATGAGACGAAGGATTGGGAGGGTGTTGATTGGATGTTGGTTCCCCAATGAGGAGGAGGCTGGGATGCCTGGCGGGCACTGTTTCGTAAGCCGGGGCAGGCTTCTGGTTGGTTGCTGGGAGCTGAGGGTGCTGAACTTGTGGCATGATAAGGTTTTTGGTTTTCTTTGACCCAACCAGGTGTTTGGTGACTTCCTGTCTGAGAGGGCAGCAATGGGAAACCGCGGAATTATCGCCTTTGCAGTTAAGGCAGAATTTGATCTCCGCTTTGCTGGTTGAGTAGTGATGATTCTGGGCGCAGATGCTGCACTTCACGATGGGTTGCTGACACTTTCTGGTTGAGTGGATGTACTCATAGCACTGGAAGCACTCTTGTATCTCATAGAAGCGCTCCTTCCTCACATGGTAGGGCGAGATCTTGATGCCTAAGCAGTTGAATCCTTGTGTGGTAGCCTGGGTAGCCGCGGCTGATGTGGTGAAGGTTAGCTTCATGGTTGGATGCTTTCCTTGTACGGCAGTCACGGCCGATGAACGCAACTCGGAATACTAACACGTTCTGCCTTTCATCTTCGACGTTGACATTTTGCATGTCTTGACATCCAATGGTTGGTCTCGCTGATAAAGACGGTTCGTGCGGCCATGAACGTGGATAGTTGAGGCAGAGGAGCGCTTGGCATAGTTCTCCATCGGCAACCAGCAGCTTTTCGAGGTCATCTTCGCTCAAGAAGTAGAGCACAATTTCCACTCCTTCTTGTCCGAGGTCGAAGGGTTTCACCTTGGCGACTGTTTTTGAGAACCTTCAAAAGATCTTTGATTACGCATCATGGTCGTCGTAGATGGTGGTCCAAATTTTGTGGCGCATTGTAGCGGTCTCTGTTCTATGTGATGATGATGATCGATCTGATGATCTGTGTATGCCGAGTCAGGTCAACTTGGGTCATCGGTGCAGGAGGTCATGAAGTTATCAGTTATGATGCAGCCAAGCTAATCCAATTGGATTACTACTTCTTCATTAAAAGATGTCGAGGATCTCGCATGCTTCCTTACAGCTGTAAATAAGATGAAGTTCAGATTGAGGATAGAGAGGGTTTAGACTGCTAGCGGGGGGGGGGGGGGGGGGGGGGGGGGGTGGAGGTGATCCAAAATTCTGGAGTACAAACATTGTGTACCTCAAGGTCTCAAGGTCGAGTACAATTCCCTGGAGATGTACGTATGGCACTCTTGTACCCAGCACCTTAAAGCATTCAGTTAAATTTGATTTTATTATGGAACCATAGTTACCGATCACCTTTCTAAAGTGGTAAATAAAATAATCTTTTAAATTATCATCCCCTTATATATTAATGGTCCTGTCTACGTGGTACTGGGCTTACCCCTTACCCCGTGACCTAGTGCCCCTAATTCTTCTGTATCCCTTCCCCTTCAGTCCCCTATTATACTCCTATTATTCTGTATAGTAGCCATGATGCTTACAGGATTATCCGGGTGCCAGGCAGGGTCTTTATACCATTAATTAAGGCACACACACACACCTCCCCTGGCAGACTATTAACCAGAATTGTCCTGGCATCTCTCTTGGTCCCTGTCCGGTACCTCAGGGCGGTGTTGGCTTCTGTGTTTATAGAGAAGCAGCGATTACCTCTCCTCTCTTCCCTGTTAAGTTCTCAACCTCTCTCTCCTTCTCACACTTCCTCTTTCAATTCTCTCTTTGATCTCCTCTCTCTCTCTCTCTCTCCACTACTCTCTCCTCTCTCCCCTCTCTCTCTCTCTAGCTGGCTACGCAGAGCTCAGATCATCTTGAGCGTCTGTACCAGTTGGTTATAATCATGGCGTCTCGAGGAGCCACAACAGCGGCTCTACACTGTAGCGGATATAACATAATCACAATGAGTTCCAATCTTCGGTCTGGAGCTGGCGGGTTCACTCCATTTCGAATTGTATTTTAAATTACTCTTTCATCAGTTTTATACTGAGAGCTCAGAGTGGATTTGTAATGGAATTTGAAAGAAGGCGTTATGGCTGTTGTTCTCTGTTATACCATTTGTCTAAATATCTTCTGATGTGGGTGTTGGCTTCTCTAGTCTGATCTTGCTCTTTATTAATACCTGAAGACTTCCATCCAGTTTCTTGTGGAGGTTATACCAGTCAGAACAATGAGTAAGGGCTCTTGTGGATGTTATGATGGTCAGAACAATGAGTAAGGGCTCTTGTGGATGTTATGATGGTCAGAACAATGAGTAAGGGCTCTTGTGGATGTTATGATGGTCAGAACAACGAGTAAGGGCTCTTGTGGATGTTATGATGGTCAGAACAACGAGTAAGGGCTCTTGTGGATGTTATGATGGTCAGAACAATGAGTAAGGGCTCTTGTGGATGTTATGATGGTCAGAACAATGAGTAAGGGCTCTTGTGGATGTTATGATGGTCAGAACAATGAGTAAGGGCTCTTGTGAATGTTATGATGGTCAGAACAGCGAGTAAGGGCTCTTGTGAATGTTATGATGGTCAGAACAATGAGTAAGGGCTCTTGTGGATGTTATGCCAGTCAGAACAACCAGTCAGAACAACGAGTAAACGTTCAAAGTACAAATGAATATATCACACTAGTCTTATATCTACCTGGGCATACAGAGTGACAATTGATACACATCGCAGTGACGTTGGGTGTAGTATAATCTTGTGTAGTGAGAATGATGTCTTTGGTGCTCCCATAGATTCCCTCTCCCATCGAGGAGAGGGAAAGCGCCAAGCCATTACGGCAATATAGCACTGGGAAGGGGTCAGGACAAGGATGTGGGATGGGTCGAAGGGAAGGAATGGTGCTTGCAATCACTTGCACGGTCAGGGATTGAACGCCGACCTGCATGAAGCGAGACCGTTGCTCTACCGGCCAGCCCAAGGGAGTGCATCGTCGATGCCTAGTTCAAGGGTGAAGTTAAGCACTGAGTTCTGAGGAAGTTTACACTTTCCCCAAAATGTGTATAGTGTCTGTGTATATATACTATACACAGTATACACACCAGTATAATATATACATAGTTCATAGAACACCAGTATAATATATACACAGTACAGGGACCACCAGTATAATATACACACAGTACAGGGACCACCAGTATAATATACATAGTACAGGGACCACCAGTATAATATACACACAGTACAGGGACCACCAGTATAATATACACAGTACAGGGACCACCAGTATAATATACACAGTACAGGGACCACCAGTATAATATACACAGTACAGGGACCACCAGTATAATATACACACAGTACAGGGACCACCAGTATAATATACACACAGTACAGGGACCACCAGTATAATATACACACAGTACAGGGACCACCAGTATAATATACACAGTACAGGGACCACCAGTATACACAGTACAGGGACCAAGTATACACAGTACAGGGACCACCAGTATAATATACACACAGTACAGGGACCACCAGTATAATATACACAGTACAGGGACCACCAGTATAATATACACAGTACAGGGACCACCAGTATAATATACACAGTACAGGGACCACCAGTATAATATACACACAGTACAGGGACCACCAGTATAATATACACACAGTACAGGGACCACCAGTATAATATACACACAGTACAGGGACCACCAGTATAATATACACAGCACAGGGACCACCAGTATAATATACACAGTACAGGGACCACCAGTATAATATACACACAGTACAGGGACCACCAGTATAATATACACACAGTACAGGGACCACCAGTATAATATACACACAGTACAGGGACCACCAGTATAATATACACAGTACAGGGACCACCAGTATAATATATAATGTGTGTGTGTAGGAGTGGAACTTGTATCATTGTAACTTGTCCACCCACTAGCCTCTGTGCAGGGAACAACTTCACCCCCATGACCTCAGTTCCAGGAAGGTGTTTACTGACTGACCTCAGTTCCAGGAAGGTGTTTACTGACTGACCTCAGCTCCAGGAAGGTGTTCACTGACTGACCTCAGTTCCAGGAAGGTGTTTACTGACTGACCTCAACTCCAGGAAGGTGTTTACTGACTGACCTCAGTTCCAGGAAGGTGTTTACTGACTGACCTCAGCTCCAGGAAGGTGTTCACTGACTGACCTCAGCTCCAGGAAGGTGTTTACTGACTGACCTCAACTCCAGGAAGGTGTTTACTGACTGACCACAGCTCCAGGAAGGTGTTTACTGACTGACCTCAGCTCCAGGAAGGTGTTCACTGACTGACCTCAGCTCCAGGAAGGTGTTTACTGACTGACCTCAGCTCCAGGAAGGTGTTTACTGACTGACCTCAGCTCCAGGAAGGTGTTTACTGACTGACCACAGCTCCAGGAAGGTGTTTACTGACTGACCTCAGCTCCAGGAAGGTGATGACTGACTGACCTCAGCTCCAGGAAGGTGTTCACTGACTGACCTCAGCTCAAGGAAGGTGTTTACTGACTGACCTCAGCTCCAGGAAGGTGTTCACTGACTGACCTCAGCTCCAGGAAGGTGTTCACTGACTGACCTCAGCTCCAGGAAGGTGTTCACTGACTGACCTCAGCTCCAGGAAGGTGTTCACTGACTGACCTCAGCTCCAGGAAGGTGTTCACTGACTGACCTCAGCTCCAGGAAGGTGTTCACTGACTGACCTCAGCTCCAGGAAGGTGTTCACTGACTGACCTCAGCTCCAGGAAGGTGTTCACTGACTGACCTCAGCTCCAGGAAGGTGTTCACTGACTGACCTCAGCTCCAGGAAGGTGTTCACTGACTGACCTCAGCTCCAGGAAGGTGTTCACTGACTGACCTCAGCTCCAGGAAGGTGTTCACTGACTGACCTCAGCTCCAGGAAGGTGTTTACTGACTGACCTCAGCTCCAGGAAGGTGTTCACTGACTGACCTTATCTCCAGGAAGGTGTTTACTGACTGACCTCAGCTCCAGGAAGGTGTTTACTGACTGACCTCAGCTCCAGGAAGGTGTTTACTGACTGACCTCAGCTCCAGGAAGGTGTTCACTGACTGACCTCAGCTCCAGGAAGGTGTTTACTGACTGACCTCAGCTCCAGGAAGGTGTTTACTGACTGACCTCAGCTCCAGGAAGGTGATGACTGACTGACCTCAGCTCCAGGAAGGTGTTCACTGACTGACCTCAGCTCCAGGAAGGTGTACACTGACTGACCTCAGCTCCAGGAAGGTGTTTACTGACTGACCTCAGCTCCAGGAAGGTGTTTACTGACTGACCTCAGCTCCTGGAAGGTGATGACTGACTGACCTCAGCTCCAGGAAGGTGATGACTGACTGACCTCAGCTCCAGGAAGGTGTACACTGACTGACCTCAGCTCCAGGAAGGTGATGACTGACTGACCTCAGCTCCAGGAAGGTGATAACTGACTGACCTCAGCTCCAGGAAGGTGTTTACTGACTGACCTCAGCTCCAGGAAGGTGATGACTGACTGACCTCAGCTCCAGGAAGGTGATGACTGACTGACCTCAGCTCCAGGAAGGTGTTCACTGACTGACCTCAGCGTCAGGAAGGTGTTTACTGACTGACCTCAGCACCAGGAAGGTGTTCACTGACTGACCTGAGCTCCAGGAAGGTGTACACAGACTGACCTCAGCTCCAAGAAGGTGTTCACTGACTGACCTCAGCTCCAGGAAGGTGTTTACTGACTGACCTCAGCTCCAGGAAGGTGTTCACTGACTGACCTCAGCTCCAGGAAGGTGTTTACTGACTGACCTCAGCTCCAGGAAGGTGTTCACTGACTGACCTCAACTCCAGGAAGGTGTTTACTGACTGACCTCAGCTCCAGGAAGGTGTTCACTGACTGACCTCAGCTCCAGGAAGGTGATGGCTGACTGACCTCAGCTCCAGGAAGGTGTTCACTGACTGACCTCAGCTCCAGGAAGGTGTTTACTGACTGACCTCAGCTCCAGGAAGGTGTTTACTGACTGACCACAGATCCAGGAAGGTGTTTACTGACTGATCTCAGCTCCAGGAAGGTGTTTACTGACTGACCTCAGCTCCAGGAAGGTGTTCACTGACTGACCTCAGCTCCAGGAAGGTGTTTACTGACTGACCTCAGCTCCAGGAAGGTGTTCACTGACTGACCTCAGCTCCAGGAAGGTGATGACTGACTGACCTCAGCTCCAGGAAGGTGTTCACTGACTGACCTCAGCTCCAGGAAGGTGTTTACTGACTGACCTCAGCTCCAGGAAGGTGTTTACTGACTGACCTCAGCTCCAGGAAGGTGTTCACTGACTGACCTCAGCTCCAGGAAGGTGTTCACTGACTGACCTCAGCTCCAGGAAGGTGATGACTGACTGACCTCAGCTCCAGGAAGGTGTTCACTGACTGACCTCAGCTCCAGGAAGGTGTTTACTGACTGACCTCAGCTCCAGGAAGGTGTTTACTGACTGACCTCAGCTCCAGGAAGGTGTTCACTGACTGACCTCAGCTCCAGGAAGGTGTTTACTGACTGACCTCAGCTCCAGGAACGTGTTCACTGACTGACCTCAGCTCCAGGAAGGTGTTTACTGACTGACCTCAGCTCCAGGAAGGTGTTCACTGACTGACCTCAGCTCCAGGAAGGTGATGACTGACTGACCTCAGCTCCAGGAAGGTGATGACTGACTGACCTCAGCTCCAGGAAGGTGTTCACTGACTGACCTCAGCTCCAGGAAGGTGTTCACTGACTGACCTCAGCTCCAGGAAGGTGTTTACTGACTGACCTCAACTCCAGGAAGGTGTTTACTGACTGACCTCAGCTCCAGGAAGGTGTTTACTGACTGACCTCAGCTCCAGGAAGGTGTTTACTGACTGACCTCAGCTCCAGGAAGGTGATGACTGACTGACCTCAGCTCCAGGAAGGTGTTCACTGACTGAGCTCAGCTCCAGGAAGGTGATGACTGACTGACCTCAGCTCCAGGAAGGTGATGACTGACTGACCTCAGCTCCAGGAAGGTGATGACTGACTGACCTCAGCTCCAGGAAGGTGTTCACTGACTGACCTCAGCTCCAGGAAGGTGTTCACTGACTGACCTCAGCTCCAGGAAGGTGTTCACTGACTGACCTCAGCTCCAGGAAGGTGTTCACTGACTGACCTCAGCTCCAGGAAGGTGTTTACTGACCGACCTCAGCTCCAGGAAGGTGTACACTGACTGACCTCAGCTCCAGGAAGGTGTTCACTGACTGACCTCAGCTCCAGGATGTAGTCCGTTCATTAATCTTAGCCTCAAGGTATCAGTGATAAAATACTTTGTTCGTATTTTATAACTATGAGAGCAGGTTTAATTTCCGTTGAGCTGTTCCGATATAAAATATATTCTCTTTTAATATTTATAAATTATCGCAAAGTGATATATTGAATTTCTATTGAAAATCATATTGAAAATGTTATTGTTATTTTACTATCGCGTGTGAATCACAAAAGCATCAAGTTCTAAATTCAACTAAATGAAAATTAACATTTATTTTTGTAATGTTAAGTACGTTTCGTCATGAAAATATTCAGTGTGTAAAAGTTTAACGCAACCGGGCCGGATACGACGGTCCGTTCATCTTCTTGAGGTTATCTTGAGATGATTTCGGGTCTTTTTAGTGTCCCTGCGGCCCGGTCCTCGACCAGGCCTCCACCCCCAGGAAGCAGCCCGTGACAGCTGACTAACACCCAGGTACCTATTTTACTGCTAGGTAACAGGGGCATAGGGTGAAAGAAACTCTGCCCATTGTTTCTCGCCGGCGCCTGGGATCGACCCAGGAGCACAGGATCACAAGTCCAGCGTGCTGTCCGCTTGGCCGACCGGCTCCCAACTCATCTTGGATGAGTTCATGAGGGCCGGCTGATAAATATATTAACCACTGGTGCCTCGTTCCCCTCCTTCTACTGTAAGGGAGACCTTTGTGAGCTGTCTAGCATTCATCTCTCAGTTAGACTGACGGATTGTGTCAGTGATGTTCGTCTAGTGGTTCCCAGTTTCCAGGACTGGTACATATGCCTCACACAGTAACTGTTTGTATGTGAGGAGCGCCTACTGATGGCCCCAGCCTCACACCGGGCATGGTTGATCGTCTCCCCCGGAGCACTGTCTGCCCAGTTTATCACCCATGGAGACCCCGAGGTTCATAACATGGCGCTCACTACAGGCAACTCTCAAGGAAATATAGATAATATTTCACCACTAGAGGAATCGGTGGGCGTAAGTTGCCATAATGGATGGTCAGCTCCACTCTGTGAGGAGCAGGAGGTGCAAGTTACGGCCGCCAGGAGCCACTAAATTTGGATATTTTTTGCCAGACTTAAAACGAAAATCCAACATTTTCTGCAGCGGTTAGACCATATTGCCACACATTTACCTAATATATCTATTATATTTAAGGAACGTTTCGCACGCATACTGAACACAGTTTACATTGTTAATTAAGTAACATTCCTAGTCAACATCCTGAATATACCTCCTCAATAACTGCACAGGTACAACACATGAACAGTCTAAATGTTAAACAACTGGAGTTCTTAGGCGCAATTTTGTTCAGATAAACTGAACAACTACTCTTTATCCAACATTGTTATATTTTATTATATATATATTATTTTGTGACTAGGCCACTGTAAAGTTTGGTGTTTTACTCCCGTTGGTAATTATTTATGTTAAGAAGTAAATATAGGTAAGAATAGAATAGATTACGTCAGGCATTTTGGTTCTGCTTACAATAATTTCCATTAGAAGCGCGGAAAGCTATTCATGAGAATCTCACAAATTATTGATCATTAAAGGGTCCCCGTCGTCATAACAATGACCAAATACTTATTAATTGAGTCACCAAGCCACAGTTTATGAGTGTATATCACTTTACACCTGACTCTCACCTGCACAAGTTCACACTTTTCACAGACTGTGAACACTCTGAAAGACTGTGAACACTGACAGACTGTGAACACTGACAGAACTCAGACTTCCTATCTGACTGTTCACCGTTTCACCTACGCGATGCTAATACGCACAACTGCCAATGGACCCAAAATACTTACTTTAAGTCTACAAGTACATAAAATAATGAAGTTTACTCATATAAGAATGTCTGACTTCATATCGTTTTTTTGTATTATTCATCAGCACATTAACTGATGACTGTAACACAGGGTTTGGCCGCAGCTTGGCCGAGGACTGTAACACAGGGGTTGGCCGCAGCTTGGCCGAGGACTGTAACACAGGGGTTGGCCGCAGCTTGGCCGAGGACTGTAACACAGGGGATGGCCGCAGCTTGGCCGAGGACTGTAACACAGGGTTTGGCCGCAGCTTGGCCGAGGACTGTAACACAGGGGTTGGCCGCAGCTTGGCCGAGGACTGTAACACAGGGGTTGGCCGCAGCTTGGCCGAGGACTGTAACACAGGGGATGGCCGCAGCTTGGCCGAGGACTGTAACACAGGGGTTGGCCGCAGCTTGGCCGAGGACTGTAACACAGGGGATGGCCGCAGCTTGGCCGAGGACTGTAACACAGGGTTTGGCCGCAGCTTGGCCGAGGACTGTAACACAGGGGTTGGCCGCAGCTTGGCCGAGGACTGTAACACAGGGGTTGGTCGCAGCTTGGCCGAGGACTGTAACACAGGGGATGGCCGCAGCTTGGCCGAGGACTGTAACACAGGGGTTGGCCGCAGCTTGGCCGAGGACTGTAACACAGGGGATGGCCGCAGCTTGGCCGAGGACTGTAACACAGGGTTTGGCCGCAGCTTGGCCGAGGACAGCCTGAGGAACACGTCCTTATATCCATGCCCAGTGTTGAATAATTCAGCTGCCGCCAAAACACTTATTTAAAAATATTGAATGTCTTCTGCTTCCTCCGTGTTCTGCAAATTTAAGCCCATATATGCATCAAATTTAAGCCCATATATGCATCAAATTTAAGCCCATATATGCATCAAATTTAAGCCCATATATGCATCAAATTTAAGCCCATATATGCATCAAATTTAAACCCATATATGCATCAAATTTAAGCTCATATATGCATAAAATATAAGGTCATAAATGCATCAAATTTAAGCCCATATATGCATAAAATATAACCTCATATATGCATCAAATATAAGCCCTAGAAATGCATCATATATAAACCCATATATGCATTAAATTTAAGCCCATATATGCATCAAATATAAGCTCATATATGCATCAAATATAAGTCCATATATGCATCAAATATCAGCCCATATATGCATCAAATACAAGTCCATATATGCATCAAATATCAGCCCATATATGCATCAAATATCAGCCCATATATGCATCAAATATAAGCCAATATATGCACGAAAGATAAGCCCATATATGCATCAAATATAAGCCAATATATGCACGAAAGATAAGCCCATATATGCATCAAATATAAGTCCATATATGCATTAAATATAAGTCCATATATGCATCAAATATAAGTCCATATATGCATCAAATAAAAGCCCATATATGCCTAAAATATAAGCCAATATATGCATCAAATATAAGCCAATATATGCACGAAAGATAAGCCCATATATGCATCAAATATAAGCCAATATATGCACGAAAGATAAGCCCATATATGCATCAAATATAAGCCCATATATGCATCAAAGATAAACCCATAATCACAATAATAGACCAGCGTAGACTATGCGTCAGAATAACGTGCCTGAAGATATTATGACCAAGCCACACACGTGGCAGTGACAAAACGACGACATTTCTGTCCGTTCTTGACCAAGTCTTGTGATAATGGTCACTATCACACTATCTGATAATGGTCCTGGACGGACCGAAACTTGTTGTTGTTGTTGTTTCTCCACAGTGTAATGTGTGGGTTGTTCGTCATGTTCCCAGTGGTCGAGGATGGTGATTCACACCTGAAGGTGATTCACACATGAAGGTGATTCACACATGAAGGTGATTCACACATGAAGGTGATTCACACATGAAGGTGATTCACACATGAAGGTGATTCACACATGAAGGTGATTCACACATGAAGGTGATTCACACATGAAGGTGATTCGCGCCAGACGCTGTTCCTCGCCCGGATGCTGAGTCATCCCGTGAAATGATTCACTTCTGCCGCTGCCATTTTCCTGACGCTACGTCAAAACTGACGTTATTCTTCCCCTGACGCTGCTTCACTCCAGATTCAGCTTCACGCTGGACTCTACTTCTTTCCTGACACTGTATAAGTCCCGGACTCTGCTTGCCCCGTGAAAGTCATTTGCTCTTGACGCAGCTTCAACTCTCAGGGTGTTTCACCCTAGAAGGTGTTTCACCACCTCAAGCTGCTTCATTCTTTCATCCCTGATTCTGCTTCCCTTGACGCTGTTTCAGCCTTGACGCTGCTTCACCCTTGACACTGCTTCACCCTTGACGCTGCTTCACCCTTGACACTGCTTCACCCTTGACGCTGCTTCACCCTTGACACTGCTTCACCCTTGACGCTGTTTCACTCATGTACGCTGCTTCACCCTTGACTCTACTTCACCCTTGACGCTACTTCACCATTGACGCTGTTTCACCCTTGACGCTGCTTCACTCATGTATGCTGCTTCACCCTTGACGCTACTTCACCCTTGACGCTGCTTCACCCATGACGCTGCTTTACTCATGTACAGGGCATCACCCTTGACGCTGCTTCACCATTGACGCTGCTTCATCCCTGACGCTGCTTCACCCTTGACGCTGCTTCACTCATGTACAGGGCATCACCCTTGACGCTGCTTCACCATTGACGCTGCTTCACCCTTGACGCTGCTTCACTCATGTATGCTGCTTCACCCTTGACGCTGCTTCATCCTTGACGCTACTTCACCCTTGACGCTGCTTCACCCTTGACGCTGCTTCACTCATGTACGCTGCTTCACCCTTGACGCTGTTTCACCCTTGACGCTGCTTCACTCATGTATGCTGCTTCACCCTTGACGCTACTTCACCCTTGACGCTGCTTCACCCTTGACGCTGCTTCACCCTTGACGCTGCTTCACCCTTGACGCTGCTTCACTCATGTACAGGGCATCACCCTTGACGCTGCTTCACCATTGACGCTGCTTCACCCTTGACGCTGCTTCACCCTTGACGCTGCTTCACCCTTGACGCTGCTTCACTCATGTACAGGGCATCACCCTTGACGCTGCTTCACCATTGACGCTGCTTCACCCTTGACGCTGCTTCACTCATGTACGGTGCTTCACCCTTGACGCTGCTTGGGGAGCTGGTCGGCCGAGCGGACAGTACACTGGACTTGTGATCCTGTGGTCCTGGGTTCGATCGCAGGCGCCGGCGAGAAACAATGGGCAGAGTTTCTTTCACCCTATGCCCCTGTTACCTAGCAGTAAAATAGGTACCTGGGTGTTAGTCAGCTGTCACGGGCTGCTTCCTGGGGTGGAGGCCTGGTCGAGGACCGGGCCGTGGGGACACTGAAGCCCCGAAATCATCTCAAGATAACCTCAAGATAACCCTGCTTCACCCTTGACGGTGCTTCACCCTTGATCCAAGAGAATGAGTGGGGAGAGTGAGGGAGATGGGAGGAGAGTGAAAGAGACAGTGTAGAGAAGAGAGAGACGGGGGAGATGACGGGGGGACTCCTGGAGAGGGACAGAGGGGTAGAAGGAGAAGAGAGAGTAGATTATATAGAAGTAGACAGAGGTAGTGTTACCATCATCCATTCAATAGTTTACCAGATAAGGAACAGAACTCGTCTCTATAACCAATGTTAAGAGGTATCAAAGTGCCAGTCACACATGCACCATCAAATCTGCGTCTCTAGTAACCTCAAGTGCTCTTCACACAACTTGCAATTTGCATAGGAGTAAATTTGTATCCAAGATCTTAGGGGGAGCAGAATTAAATATAAATTAGAATGATATATATAGAACATTCATTTATTAAATATGTTCAGGGATGATGCCAAATGGATTATTATACTTTCCTCGACTATAACATAAGGAATGGTAATAACGGACTCTAAATCAGTCACTACACAGGAAACTGAGAGGAAATAGGACAGACTGGCACTAGAAATTTCACAACATATAATTTAGGAAACACAGAAAGCATCACCTAACAATCAAATTGATCACGGCCTCTGCGCATACGATGGTTAGATAAGGGGAGAGGGAACAGCTGACACAACCAAGACCCCTTACAGTCCTAGAGAGGCCAGTGTAGTACGTGACCTACAGAGCTGGAACCTCAGTGTAGAGGAAGAACGCTCTATTTATATCCTCTAATGTACAACTGTTCGAGTATATTAAGGGGGGCCAAGAGCTAAGTTCAGCCTGCCTTACTATCATATCTAGACGGCGGCTTGTTGATTGATAGACACAGGTAATGGTTTGCAATTGTCACCTTAGCAGAGAGCAAGGTCACCTGATCACCTGACACAACCTGACCTCTGCCTGACCTCTGCTTGACCTCTGCCTGACCTCTGCCTGACCTCTACCTGACCTCTACCTGACCTCTACCTGCCCTCTGCCTGACCTCTGCCTGACCTCTAGCTGACCTCTACCTGACCTCTACCTGCCCTCTGCCTGACCTCTGCCTGACCTCTAGCTGACCTCTGCCTGACCTCTACCTGACCTCTGCCTGACCTCTACCTGCCCTCTGCCTGACCTCTACCTGCCCTCTGCCTGACCTCTGCCTGACCTCTACCTGACCTCTACCTGACCTCTACCTGACCTCTGCCTGACCTCTACCTGACCTCTACCTGACCTCTACCTGACCACTGCCTGACCTCTACCTGACCTCTACCTGACCTCTACCTGACCACTGCCTGACCTCTACCTGACCTCTACCTGACTTCTACCTGACCTCTACCTGACCTCTGCCTGACCTCTACCTGACCACTGCCTGACCTCTACCTGACCTCTACCTGACCTCTACCTGACCTCTGCCTGACCTCTACCTGACCTCTGCCTGACCTCTGCCTGACCTCTACCTGACCTCTACCTGACCTCTACCTGACCTCTACCTGACCTCTACCTGCCCTCTGCCTGACCTCTGCCTGACCTCTAGCTGACCTCTGCCTGACCTCTACCTGCCCTCTGCCTGACCTCTGCCTGACCTCTAGCTGACCTCTGCCTGACCTCTACCTGACCTCTGCCTGACCTCTACCTGCCCTCTGCCTGACCTCTACCTGCCCTCTGCCTGACCTCTGCCTGACCTCTACCTGACCTCTACCTGACCTCTACCTGACCTCTGCCTGACCTCTACCTGACCTCTACCTGACCACTGCCTGACCTCTACCTGACCTCTACCTGACCTCTACCTGACCACTGCCTGACCTCTACCTGACCTCTACCTGACTTCTACCTGACCTCTACCTGACCTCTGCCTGACCTCTACCTGACCTCTACCTGACCACTGCCTGACCTCTACCTGACCTCTACCTGACCTCTACCTGACCTCTGCCTGACCTCTACCTGACCTCTGCCTGACCTCTACCTGACCTCTGCCTGACCTCTACCTGACCTCAGCCTGACCTCTACCTGACCTCTACCTGACCTCTACCTGCCCTCTGCCTGACCTCTATCTGCCCTCTGCCTGACCTCTAGCTGACCTCTGCCTGACCTCTACCTGACCTCTACCTGACCTCTACCTGCCCTCTGCCTGACCTCTACCTGACCTCTGCCTGACCTCTACCTGACCTCTACCTGACCTCTACCTGACCACTGCCTGACCTCTACCTGACCTCTACCTAACCTCTGCCTGACCTCTACCTGACCTCTGCCTGACCTCTACCTGACCTTTACCTGACCACTGCCTGACCTCTACCTGACCTCTACCTGACCTCTACCTGACCTCTGCCTGACCTCTACCTGACCTCTGCCTGACCTCTACCTGACCTCTGCCTGACCTCTACCTGACCTCTGCCTGACCTCTACCTGACCTCTACCTGACCTTTACCTGACCTCTACCTGACCTCTGCCTGACATCTACCTGACATCTACCTGACCTCTGCCTGACCTCTACCTGACCTCTGCCTGACCTCTACCTGACCTCTACCTGACCTCTGCCTGACCTCTGCCTGACCTCTGCCTGACCTCTACCTGACCTCTGCCTGACCTCTACCTGACCTCTGCCTGACCTCTACCTGACCTCTACCTGACCTCTGCCTGACCTCTACCTTACCTCTACCTGACCTCTACCTGACCTCTGCCGGACCTCTACCTGACCTCTACCTGACCTCTACCTGACCTCTGCCTGACCTCTACCTGACCTCTACCTGACCTCTACCTGACCTCTGCCTGACCTCTACCTGACGTCTACATGACCTCTACCTGACCTCTACCTGACCTCTGCCTGACCTCTACCTGACCTCTGCGTGACCTCTACTTGACCTCTACCTGACCTCTACCTGACCTCTACCTGACCTCTGCCTGACCTCTACCTGACCTCTACCTGACCTCTACCTGACCTCTACCTGACCTCTACCTGACCTCTACCTGACCACTACCTGACCTCTGCCTGACCTCCGGAGCCGGTCGGCCGAGCGGACAGCACGCTGGACTTGTGATCCTGTGGTCCCGGGTTCGATCCCGGGCGCCGGCGAGAAACAATGGGCAGAGTTTCTTTCACCCTATGCCCCTGTTACCTAGCAGTAAAATAGGTACCTGGGTGTTAGTCAGCTGTCACGGGCTGCTTCCTGGGGATGGAGGCCTGGTCGAGGACCGAGCCGCGGGGACACTAAAGCCCCGAAATCATCTCTAGATAACCTTTTGACCTCTACCTGACCTCTACCTGACCTCTGCCTGACCTCTGCCTGACCTCTACCTGACCTTTACCTGACCTCTACCTGACCACTGCCTGACCTCTACCTGACCACTGCCTGACCTCTACCTGACCTCTACCTGACCTCTACCTGACCACTACCTGACCTCTACCTGACCTCTACCTGACCTCTACCTGACCACTGCCTGACCTCTACCTGACCACTGCCTGACCTCTACCTGACCTCTACCTGACCTCTGCCTGACCTGAGGACATTAACACTTGTGAGGTGTGAACTTTGGTATTGTCAAGGGCTGACCTCCTCCCGCCACCCAGTGTGAAG